CCACTTACAAACTAACATCACTATAATATCTAATTACTTAAGCTAGCTAGTTCATTGCAAATCTATTTATTGACTTCAGCTTAGGTCCTCTCAGAATGCTAGTACTCAATATATTGTGAGTTTTGCAGAGCTCCAGTTAACTTTGAAGCAAACCTACTAGAGTAGCCTATACTCATTTCATGAACTCATCTAGTTTAGACTCTTGTAGATATTTGTACAACCCTAGTTTCTATTATAGCTCTTCACTAGTTTTGTGTTAATTAATTTTTCTAGATATTTCACAAGATAGATCCTTCCAAATTCAGTTAGCTACTAAGCCAAGTTAGTGCTACTGATCTTTACTAGGAATATAGACTTACTCGTATCTATCTCAATCTATATTTTTTGAAACAGTTTCTTTCTAGATCAAGCATTAGCTGATGTGACTATTAAAAGCTATACTACTTCACTAACTCAGAATTTCTACTATATAGATCTCTTGCTTATACATTCAATACAAATTTATTTATGTAATGTTACTGTTATACTTCCAATATCTAATTAACTTGGTTCAATACTATTTTTTATAGGGTTTTGTCACATCTTCCAGAACTCTCTTTTCAGAAATAAGTAGAGTTTCTGTAAGTTTTGTATACAGATCTAGGTATTATTCAAATTTGTCGACAGTAAGATTTGAACTCCAAACCAATTACATAGCAGTTTGACAACCTGACCACTATACTAGGTCACTGAACTTAATTAATAAAATCTTTATATATTATACATTATTTCATTTTAAATAGAAATATTCTAGAATTTTGTAATTAGATAAATTTTAAATATCAAGTATTTTATTATTTAAATTTTAAATATTTTAAAATATTTTTAATAATTTTAAACATTTGCAAAATTTAGAAAAATAAATAAAATAATATTCAAATATATTTAAAATTATAATTTGAATAATACACAAAAGCCAAGAGTATTCCTAGCTTTATATACAAAATTTAGATAAAAATTTTAATTATCTTAAATTATTTATAATTTTAATAAACCCTTTAAATTTAAATTATATTAGAATAGATCTACACACACTCTCTTCTGACTACATAAGTTAGGCCCGAGAGCAAAACTTTTTACAAAATATCTAATACTAAAGAAACTAAAACTATTTTTTTTAACAGAACTCGGGCTTTAGCTCTAGTTCTAAAGAAACGTAAACTTTGGTGCCTAGAAAATATATGAAACAAAAAAATTATGCGTCATGAAAGTTTACAAGCAAGTAATAGCAACAAAAAAAATCTACACTCTACTACAAGTATTAGCAAAAAAGATATGAGTATTAACTACTCTAAACAAAAAAAAACCACTAACTAACTCCTCTAACTGGGATGAGTAACTAAGTCAAGAACTTGAAAAAGGAAAAATTAACATGTCTCAAGAAACAGAAAAAAACAAGAACAACAAAAACAAAACAACAGATGAAGGAACACGTGATATTATACAAAATAATACTGATATGACCAAAACAACAAACACACATGTCAAATCAATAAATGAATCTCTTTTAGAAATATCTGCAAGCATTCTGAGTCTACAAGGAACCCCCAAAAAATCCTAGTCTAGCCTGTTTGCTAAGGTTAAAAGAGGCTAATCTACTTTTACTTCTTATTCTCCAAGAAGCACTATTAGATCAAAAAATAATAATGCCTTAGTACTAGATATTAACAGCCTAAAAAACTGCTCTTTAAATGATATTATGATATCTCTTCATAATAATGTAAGGAGTGATATAGTAGTAGCAAAACCATATATCAACAGAAGAGCTCACACTTACTTAAAAATTATCTTTGCGAACAAAGAAAAATTATAAGAGTATGCAGTTAAAGGAGTAAACATCTTTAACAAAACATATCTTGGCTCTATCTCTATAGATAATAGAAGGTCTTTCCTTCCAGTCAAAATTAGAAATGTTCCTTTACAAGAAAAAAACTTAGTCTCTAAAGCTATCAAAGAGGCTTTTAAAGATGTGGGAAAAATTGCTTCGATCAAACCACTCTTAATAGAAGGAACCCTTATCTAACTGAACAATGAGTTATTATTTTCGATACTACAAATGACCTAGATCTAGAAAAAAGAATCTCTTGTTTTTATATTTTGTTAAAAAACAAAATCACTACAGAATGGAAATCAGCTCCAAAGGTCTGCTTTTTCTGTAACAGAGAAGGTTATGTCAAAAGAAATTGCGAACAACATTAAGAAGCTTTAGCACTCCGTTATTATTTTAAGGAGTACCAAAGAAATAAGAACAAAGAAAAAATCTCAGAACTTATCTCTAATCTAGTGGTTGAAGAAACTACATTAGCTTCTTCATCCTCAATTCAAGGAATGTGTATAGATGAACACCTTAAAACTCTACTACAGAAGAGCAACAAGACACTTCCAGGACTAATAAAAATAATAACACTCATGGCAGTATATTAAAAAGAACAGAGAATATGACTCTAAATATTGAAAATTCAAATATGAGAAAAAATTCAGAAACTCAAAATGCAGACTCAATAAGCAATTCTACTTCCAACAAAGAAACAGCACAAGAGATAACTTCTCCTATGGTTATTATCGATAACAATAACTATGAACTGCAGGAACTTGACTGTTCAGAAGAAGAATATATAACTGCTACAAATAAAAGAAAAAAAAATAAAAAGAAAGTATCTGCACAAAAACAAAAAGAAACAAGAACTGTTCCTTACAAGAAAAAAACTCGTAATGAGAGCCAAAGTATGCAGATCTAAAATTTTACCTCAAATTAACTCTTATGTTTAAAAACTCAAAGATAAAAATTATAACTCTAAATGTTAAAGGACTGAACAATCAACAGAAACAAAGAAAAACTTTTACTCTTCTTAAGTCTTATAATCTAGATATTATAATACTTCAAGAGACAAATCTCAATAACAAAGATACACA